TCTTCATGGAGGACTTCGAGGAGACTGCTCTGAACACATCACCCGTGACCCCTCGTTTCTACAAGCGGTATGTAGATGACACTTTCACAATATTACCATCTGATAAAATAACTGTATTCTTAGAACACCTTAATTCTATAAATCCTAAAATACAATTTACAATGGAATTAGAATCGGACAATACCTTAGCTTTCCTAGATGTATTAGTTAAACGTAACCCAGATAACACCTTGAGTCATACTGTGTATAGAAAGAAGACCCATACTGATAGGTACCTGAATGGTGAATCTCACCACCATCCTTCACAGTTAGCTACCGTGGGAAAATCTTTGTTTCAGAGAGCGCGCGTGATCTGTGACGAGCAACACCTGGCCGGAGAACTGCAACGAGTGAAACCAGCCACAGTCGAGCGCGTCCCTGCAGTCTTGCCATACATGAAAGGAGTCACTGACAAGATTGGCTACATTCTAAAGCGAGCTTCAATTAAAACCTACTTTAAGCCGCCAAAGAAAATTAGTCAGTTCTTACCACCTGTCAAGTGCCACATCCCTCTACAAGATGCAGGAGTTTACAAGCTTGATTGTGATTGTGGGCTCTTTTACATTGGACAAACAAAGCGATCCATTAGAACCCGGGTCAAAGAACACATAGCTGATGTGAAGCACCGTCGCAATACAACATCTGCTGTCTGCAAACATAGCCAGGACCGCCCAAGCCATTATATTCGTTTCGATAGACCTCAAATCCTGGCGAAAGAAAACCGATATCGCCCTACAATGATTCGAGAAGCCATAGAAATTAAAAAACATCCAAATTTCAATAGGGAAGATGGCTGGGTACTACCATCGTCATGGGATCCTGTTATTAATATAATAAAATCAAATAATAAATATAAACATAACAGACAGGTAGATGTAGTAAGTTCATACTGTGTAGATCAAAATGACAGCTTATCAGATTAATATTTTTCATTTTTCATTTGTAAAAGTAGATATTAATAGTGTTGCTTAGTAAGTTGTTTTTAAATAATAGCAAACTAAATTAAAATAATTATCCTTAATTAACTTTAACTTTTTAAATTACACATAGAACAATTATATGACTTAAATCATTAATACTATATTTTATATTTTTCTTTATGGTTATAAATATAATAATGGCAACACTAAATATAGATTACTAATTAATATTTTAAAATTGTAATAATTATAAAAATAATAGCAAAAATTAAATAAATAATTTTCCATATTCAATTATAATTAAAATTATAAAAATGTTTAAAGTTAAAAAAAATATTGTAATGTAATTGGTGCAATTTTCATTTTGTTAATTGTGGGTAGGCTGTCTGTAACAACTATACCCTCAAGACATGTAACACCTCAGTCTCTCCCGTGACCATGGATGCTGTAAAGCATTCGAAACGTCGGGAACCAAAAATCAAAATAAATCCGCTAAATAATCCGAAAAGATAGTTTTATTTAAGAATAATTTTTTTCTCGGTTCCCTATTTTTTTATAGTATAAACTGTGTACCTCAATCATCTTGCTTTTATTTCTTTGTACTTCTGTATTATTATTCAGAACTGGTAAAAATATCTTCCAGTTGTACCAAATTTACAAGTTTCAATTGTTCGTCTATATTTTCTTCAGATTCTAATACTGGATTTCTACTTAGGCAGTCAGCTTCTAAATTCTGTTTACTTGGAGCATATTTTATTTTAAAATCATATTGTGATAGGTAAAATGTTATATCTTCTAATTCTTCATCTGTTCACGCTTTCTTGGGGTTTATGGTCAGAATATACTGTAAATGATTTGCCAGTATACCACCTTGCATTACCAGTATTGCCAGTATCTCAATGCTTCTTTTATTGCTGGGCATTCCAAGCATATAGCTTTCTTCTTTTTTTGAGCTACATTTAATTTCGTTGAAAAGTAAGCTACTGGTTTTTCCTTTCCATCAAGTTGTGTTTGTTTTAAGATTTTTTCTTTCTAAAGAAGCATCCGTATATGTGTTGATTGGTAAATCTTGACCGAAAATTTCCAGAACCGGTTGGGTACATAGAAAGTTCTTTATACTCTCAAATGCTTTTTGACACTCGTGAGACCATATAAACTTCTGATTCTTCCGAAGTAAATTATGTAATGGATCTAGTATAATGGCGCTCTTCGGTATATACTCGTGGAAAAAAAATATTTTTCCTAAAAATTGTCTTACATTCTTTTGCGTTTTTGGAATAGAAAGTTTCTTATTGAAATCAAGTTATCCATTACGGGCCTTACGGATCTAAATTTGATGCAAATGAGCATTTAGTAAATTTTAACCTGAAACCTTTTTTTTTATACCACGTCGGTGGCAATCAGGCATGCAGCCCGCCTGATGGTAAGTGGTTACCGCAGCCTATGGACGCTTGCAACATCAGGGGCATCACATGCGAGTTGCCGACCCTTTCAGAACCTATTTACTCCCCTTTTGAAGGACCCCATACTGTAGTCCTCTGGGAAAATCTTGACAGGGAGTTCATTCCACAGCGAAATGGTCCGTGGGAGAAAAATTCCTCTGTCTTGTTTGGAGTATAGTGCCAGTTACGCGCTCAACGCGGCCTCGCTTTGCGGGCTGTCGCCGTGTATGGCATTACAGGTCAGCGGATTGGGACGGGATGCGGTCATTCTTTGCGTCCTACCCATGGGCCCCCATGGGTAGGACGTAGATCTGCTTCTCGCCAGATGATCCAGACGTCGTTGCTGACTCTGTCACCGATGTGGTACTTCAGGGTATGGAACTATTTATTCCGTTCTCTGCAGTGCCCATCGGAGGCAAATCCCAGCCTTGGTTTGGTCACTCCTGCAAGACGGCATCTCGCCGAAAGCTGGAATGCTACCAAGCCTGGGCTGTCGCGTTGGCGTCTAGTGATGTAAATACCAGCGCCTTTAAAAAAGGAGTATAACTTTGCCTCCAGGTCCTTCAAAAATAGTATTGCTAATGCGAAGTCGAAGCACATCGGCAGAATTGGCGGGAGATTGGGGCGTCTCCCATCAGGAACGCGTGCGTTTTGGCCTCTCTCCAAAGCTATTTTAGGGAATTTCTGTAAGCCTTCCTTTCCACCTCTGCACATGGAGAATAACTCGCTGGCTCATACCGCGAAGGATAAAGCCGAACTACTGGCCACTCTCTTCGCGTCCAATTCGACTCTGAATGACCAAGGAAACTCACCGCCGACAATTCCGCGGTGTGACACTACCATGCCGGAAGTTCAGTTCCGGCAAAGTGCAGTTCGGAAAGCACTCCTCTCCTTGGACATTCATAAGTCGAGTGGGCCCGATGGCATCCCTCCGATCGTGTTGAAGACATGTGCTCCGGAGTTGGCACCGGTCTTAACGCGTCTCTTCCGGTACTCCTATTCATTAGGCGTAGTCCCGAAATCCTGGAAGGCCGCTTTAGTGCACCCGATCCCAAAAAAGGGCAACCGCTCGGATCCGTCCAATTACAGGCCTATAGCAATTACCTCCTTGTTCTCTAAGATATTGGAGTTCATTATCAACTGCCAGCTCCTGTGGTACCTAGAAGAGCACTGGTTGATCAGCGACCGCCAGTACGGCTTCCGTCGAGGTCGCTCAGCCGGTGATCTTCTAGTTTACCTAACACATAGATGGGCAGAAGCAGTTGAGACCAAGGGGGAGGCGCTTGCAGTCAGTCTGGACATAGCGAAGGCCTTTGATCGGGTATGGCATAAAGCGCTTCTTTTGAAGCTACCTTCCTATGGGCTCCCCGAGAAATTTTGCAACTGGATCACCAGCTTTTTGGCAGATCGGAGCATCAAGGTCGTTGTCGACGGTGCTTGCTCTGATCCTAAATATGTCAATGCTGGTTTTCCACAAGGCTGCGTACTGTCTCCTACTCTGTTCCTTCTGCATATCAATGACATGTTGCAAATTAGCAACATTCATTGCTATGCCGACGATAGCACTGTGGATGCCCTATGCACTGGCCGCGCTAATATTTCTCGGGAATACGTCGACGAGAGCCGGAACAAACTTGTCTCTGAAGTCGAATCTTTGTTAACCAAAGTCTCGGATTGGGGTCGACTAACTTAGTCGTCCACCTTGTCGTGGTGGGGGGGCTCAGTAGTAGTAGCGAAGCTAAGAAACGCACAGGGAGGTTGCCCACTTCGGTGGGCGGTGGGAGGTGGCCCTCTTCGTGGGGTGGTGTACCTTGCGGGTTGCTCCTGGTACTTCTCTGATAGCAGAGTGGACCTTGGAGCGGCCCCATGGTTGTGGTGGTCTGCTTTGGCAGACCTGCCGTCGGGGCGTCGTGGTTGAATGCGTAAGCGATCCTGCGACGCCCCATTAAGACGGGGGAAGGTTTTGTTGGGTTTTAGTGGGTAGTACTGGTTGTATTACGCCGGTGAGTCCCACACGTCGTGCGTAAATGCATTTCCCAACGTTAAAAAAAAAATAAGTCCAATTCAACCCCAAAAAGACACAAGTTTGCGCGTTAACCGCTAAAAAATCGCCATTTATCGTAGCTCCTCAATTTGAGGATATAATATACTTAAATTTTTAAGTAGTCTATGGTCTGTATTAGCATTATTGTTTATGGTTCATCTATGTAAGCACTTTTGGAAATAAAGCGTTGTTGGAAATACATTACAAAATGGCAACGAGGATTTAAAATTAATAAAAAGAGAAGATACGGAAAATTGGAAAAATGGCAGGAAAAATGTACATTGGAAATGTCGACTATGATGAGAGTGAGAAATTTAGTGATTATATAGAACGCTTTGAGATGTTTCTAGAATGTAATAAGATAGAGGCTGCCCGGTGGAAGGCGGTTTTTTTAAGCGTCATTGGCCCAAAATTATTTAGCCTGTTGAAAAACCTGTGCACACCAGTGGCACCAAGGGAAAAGACATATGAAGAATTAAAAAAAATCTTATGAATCATCTCGAACCAAAACCAAATGTGATTACGGAGAGGTACAAATTTGGCCAGAGATGTCAAATGTCGGGCGAATCAATAAATACATATTTAGCAGAATTAAAAAAGCTATCTCTATATTGTAATTATGGAGAAAATCTAACAGAACAAATAAGAGACAAGTTTATCTCGGGTCTAAGTAATGAGAAGGTTAAACAAAAACTACTTAATGAGAGTGAAGTTACATTAGAAAAAGCCTACAACATAACAGTGCAGTTAGAGAACACCGATCGAGATTTAGAGGTGATGACTTCCAAGGTACACAGGAGGAAAGAAGCGAGGAGAACAACGGAATGATACCTGTGGTCAGCTGCAGCAGAGTGCTAGAAGTAATAATAAGTTATGCAAGTGCTGTGGTAAAGTGGGTCATTTAAAAGAAGTGTGTTGGTTTAAATATAGGAAATGTAGATCTTGTGGTAAAATTGGACATTTATTGGCAGTTTGTAGATTTAAGAAAGGTAAAAAGCTTTGTAATTATATTGAAAATGAACATAATCAGGACATTGTTTTAGAGGACATACAAAATTTATTTACATTAAGTGATACTCATGTCTCACCTTATAAACTTGAATTACAAATAAATGTTTGAAAAAGGTAATGTTTGAAATAGATACTGGAGCAGCTATAAGTGTTATAAGTCAATACATAAAAAATAAATATTTCAATGATAGTGAAATGTACAAATGTAATCTGAAACTCAGATCATATGTAAATGATTTAATTACTCCCTTAGGTTTTATAAATGAAGACATTGCTTATGATAAAAAGAAAATGAAAGCTAAATTATATGTAATTGAGAATGGGGGACCTTCTCTCATTGGTCGGGACCTTTTGAAAAAATTAAATATTAAAACATTAAATATAAATTCATTAAGTTGTGAAAATATTAAAGATAAATTGGTAAGTAAATTTCCTGAAGTTTTTAGTTCTGAGTTAGGGACATACAAAGGAGAGCAGGTCTACCTAGTACTAAAAGAGAATGTGTCACCTAAGTATTATAAAGCTAGATCCGTACCGTTCAGTATGAAACAATTAGTAGAAGAAGAAATAAATAGGCTGGTGAGTCAAGGTGTATTGACTCCGGTAAAAAGTAGGAAGTGGGCAACACCCATAGTACCAGTCTTAAAAGGTAATGGTAAGTTAAGAGTGTGTGGTGATTTTAAGGTCACAATTAATCAATATTTAGAGGATGACAAGCATCCTATACCAAAAATAGAAGATTTATTTGTTAATTTAAATAAAGGTGAAAAATATTCAAGAGTTGACTTAGCACATGCTTATCAACAATTGATGTTGACAGAGGAGGCGAAAAAGTTAGTTTGCATAAATACACATCTCGGATTATTCCAATATAACAGGTTACCTTTTGGTGTTAAAGTAGCTCCAAATATTTTTCAACACATTATGGATCATTTATTTATAGGAAGACCAGGTATAGTTGTATTTATGGATGATGTGGTTGTAACTGGGAAAGATGATCAGGAACATTATGAAAATTTATTGTTTGTTTTTGGTAAATTGAAAGAAATGGGTCTTACAGTTAGTGTAGATAAATGTGTATTTTTTGCAGATAGTATACATTATTTAGGGTATATTTTGTCTAAGGACGGGCTACAACCTGATCCTAAGAATGTAGAAGCAATAACTCAAGCTAGGAATCCCACTAACGTCACAGAATTAAAAGCATTTCTTGGTTTCATAAACTATAATATGAAGTTCTTACCAAATGTGTCAACAGTGTTAGCACCACTGTATAATTTATTAAAAAAGGATATTAAATTTATTTGGAACCAAAAATGTAAAGAATCTTTTGAAAGTATAAAAAAAATGATGATATCTACTCACATTTTATCTCATTATGATCCAACACAAGATTTATATTTAGCTTGTGATGCTAGTGCATATGGAGTAGGTGCTGTTTTATCTCAGAAAAAGTGTGGCATTGAAAAACCTATTGCATTTATGTCTAGGACATTAAATGAGGCAGGGAAAGGATATAGCCAAATAGACAAGGAAGCTTTAGCATTGATATCTGGTGTTACTAAATTTAATAAATATTTATGGGGTAGAAAATTTACCTTGATTACAGATTCTAAGCCTTTATTGAGCATCTTTGGTCCTAAAAAAGGCATACCTACCATAGCAGCTAGTAGACTTCAGCGATATGCATTGTTGTTGTCTGGTTACAATTATAATATTATTTATGTGAAATCAGAGCATAATAATGCAGATGCATTATCTAGGTTACCATTAGACAGAATTGAAAGTAAAAATGTATCAGAATATTCATATTTAAATTTTTTGAAAGATAATGTAAGCTTACCTATTGATTGTAATTTAATTAAGAAAGAAACTTTATTAGATCCAGTGCTAAAACTTGTGTTAAACTATATAGAACAAGGGTGGCCAATTTATATTAGTGATATTAACTTAAAACCTTACTTTATTAAGAGAAGGCAATTGTCAGTGGAGCATGGAATCATTATGTATGGATATAGAGTTGTAATACCTAACAAGTTAATTGCAACTATTTTACAAGAGCTTCACTCCACACATTTAGGTATTGTTAAAATGAAATCAATAGCCAGGAGTTATTTCTGGTGGCCTTCTATTGATAATGATGTACAGTTAATGGCAAATAGTTGTACTACTTGTATATTGGAAAGGCCTAATCCACATAATGTGAAATTACATGTGTGGAACTATCCTGAAAACCCATGGTCACGATTACATGTAGATTACTTAGGTCCTATATATGGAAAGTATTATTTTGTATTAGAGTGTGCTTATACAAAGTGGATTGAAGTGGAGGAAGTTAGTTCAACCTGAGCAAGTCAAGTTATTAAAATTTTAAAAAGACTATTTACTACTTTTGGTTTTCCAGACTTAATATACAGTGACAATGGACCTCCATTCCATTCCATGGAATTTACATCATTTCTTAAAAATTTGGGAATTAAACAATCATTTTCACCACCTTATAATCCTCAAACAAATGGTTTAGCAGAGAGTGCTGTTAAGATAATTAAAAAATGTATTAAAAAAGCATTTTATGAAAAGAACAATGTAAATGATTGTATTAATTCATTTTTGTTAACATATAGAAATTGTAAGCATATGACTACAGGAGAAAGCCCAGCATACTTGATGTTTAAGCGAAACTTAAAGACAAAATTTGATTTATTAAGACCTAATGTAAAAAAACATGTTCAGTATAAGCAGGAATTACAAAAGAAATATGCAGGGGGTAGCAGAGTAAGAGAGTTAGAAATAGGGAAAAGTGTATTAGCTAGAGATTATAGAAGTAATAGTAATAAGTGGATGGAAGGAATAGTATGTAAAAAACTTGGTCCAGTTACATATTTAATTAAATTGTTAAATACAAATATTATTTGGAAAAGACATATTAATCAGATTTTGGATAATCAAATAAACAGTAATTTAGATGATGATGCTTTTGATACCGAGTTAGTGTTTAAAGATAAAGAATATCCAAGTGTATGTAATGAGACAAGTTCAAGTGTAATTATAAAGTCACCTAATACTGTGTGTAGTAATTCTGTTGTACGGAAAAGTGAGATTTTGCCTTCTGTTGAGAAAAATGTGTCAAATGGGTCTCAGTTAAAGGAAATAGTTAGTTCTCCACAAAAGACAGAATCTTCACCACTTATTTTAAAGAGATCTGTTAGAATTAGAAAGAAACCAGACAGACTTAATTTATAGATAGTACAGAAGAAAAAGAATGTAAAATTTAGTGTAGAATTCATAGTGGGAGAGTGTTGTGTATAATATACTTAAATGTTTAAGTAGTCTATGGTCTGTATTAGCATTATTGTTTATGGTTCATCTATGTAAGCACTTTTGGAAATAAAGCGTTGTTGGAAATACATTACAGAGGACACTCCTCTGTCTGCCACAGCTAGTATCGGAATACTTGGCGTCGACATCTCGAGCAACGTTCAGTTCCGTGGTCAATTGGAAGGTAAGGCCAAACTGGCCTCAAAGAAGCTTGGTGTGCTCAGCAAGGCGAGACAGTACTTCACGTCGCGTCAGCGTCTTATTCTTTATAAGGCGCCAATTCGGCCCCACATGGAGTACTGTTCTCATCTTTGGGCGGGAGCTCCCCAGTACCAGCTACTTCCATTTGACCGCATTCAACGTAGGGCGGCTCGAGTTATCGACGATCAAGCTCTCTCTGATCGGCTTGATCCTTTAGCTCTGCGTAGAGATGTTGGATCACTCTGCATCTTCTACCGCATTTATCACGGGGAGTGTTCCGAGGAATTGTTCGGACTGATCTCGGCTGCTGAATTTTATCATCGGACATCGCGCCAAAATAGTAAATTCCATCCACACCACCTCGATGTCCAGAGTTCCACAACAGTGCGATTTTTAAGGCATTTTCAGCCCCGCACAACCACTCTGTGGAACCAGCTATCGCCGGCGGTCTTTCCGAACCGCTATGACCTGGCCACCTTCAAGAAGAGAGCGTATTCCTTCCTTAAAGACCGGCAACGCATCTGCAAGCCCTGCGGTGTTGCAGATGTCCATGGGCGGCGGTGATCACTTTCTATCAGGTGAGCCTCCTGCCCGTTTGCCCCCTTAGTCCCAAAGAAAAAAAACTTGTATCACAACCCCTGTCTTTTTTCTATCTTCTATTCGTAAAGGAATAGACCAAAATGCAGAGTTAATATCCAGAGCCGAAAAAATTACAATTCCTAGTTTTTATCACTAGATCTTCAATTAATGGAAATGGTTGTGCTTAAGGTTTTTTTTTAACGTTCGGAAATGCATTTACACACGACGTGTGGGACTCACCGGCGTAATACAGCCAGTACTACCCACTAAAACCCAACAAAACCTTCCCCCGTCTTAATGGGGCGTCGCAGGATCGCTTACGCATTCAACTACGACGCCCCGACGGCAGGTCTGGGGTTGCTCCAAGTTCCACTCTGCCATCAGAGAAGTACCAGGAGCAACCCGCAAGGTACACCGCCCCCCCCGAAGAGCCACCTCCCACCGACCACCGAAGTGGGCAACCTCCCTGTGCGTTTCTTAGCTTCGCGCCCGGTTGGATTGCCGGGCACTACTGAGCCCCCCCACCACGACAAGGTGAACGCACGTTGGAGGGGGGGAGGGGGGTGTCGGGTGCTTGAGGTACTACTATTTTATTCAAGTCTCTGAAATCTATACATAATGTATTTATTTCAGATCTTTGATACTCATTTAAGTGACTAATTTTCATCTCAAAATATTCTTCTTTTACATGTTCATTAAAAATTATTTTATATATTTTTATATTTTTACTGTCTGTATTTTTTATATCCGTATTTGTAACAACTCATTTTATATTCGTTTTTTAAGTCTTCTTTTTGAGATATTTGTAAATCTTCATTTTGGATTAGTTTAAACGCCTTTATCATGTCTAAGCCAATCAAAAATTCATATTTAAAATCTTGTTCATCAATAATAAATACATCAACATTTTTTTCCATTTCAAAGATTTATAATTTCAAGTTTGTCAAACCACTTGCCTTTTTAACACCATTAATCGTAACTAAATCTATTTTGTTCGAATTTTGTCCTTTTATTTTTAAGAACTTAGAAGTAATCAGAGAAACGTTTGAACCAGAATCATAAATTCCATTTATTTCTAATGTATCATTCAATAGAAGTTTGACATTGGTTAAAGGTGTAACTATTCATTTTTTGGTTTGACCTGTTTCATTTAATTCAGCTTCTATTACTGAATTGTTTACATGTTTGATGAACTCTTTTTTTACTTTATTATTGCCCGTGCCCGTGCCCTGTTTTATTTTAAGCCAGCATGCAGATTCAGGATGAAAACGAGTACCCCTATTTAAATTTTCACAAATTCTACACGCGTTTAGATTTTCACTTTTATTATAAGTTTTTTGAAATCCATTTTTCCTCTTCGATGTAAAAACTTTTCTATTTAACATGTGTTCATACTTTCTTACCTCATTAAATAAATCTACTGTGTCTTTCAATATTTCTCTATCAATTTTGTTAAGTATAAATTCTGGTAAACCAACTGCAATAAGATCCACCAGAGTACCCATATCAATTGAACTTCTCATATCAAGTAATAGTTTTTCTTTCTTTATAGCATAATCTATTAACACGTTCGCTGCGGCTGTGATTTTTCTATACTTTCCCTTCCTGCGGTACAAGATCTATGAACCTGGTAATAAAACTTCCATTGTGACAGCACAAGGCTTATAGACCCTGTAACATTTATGAAACTTAAATCCTTTTTTTTGACTTCATGTAAAAATATATCTGATTTTTTTGCTTTGAATATTAATAATAATGAACTAATTGACAGTCACCTGAAGCCGTTCGTTCACAACTTGTTTAGTTTAAAAATTATAGCTATATTTAAAATACAGGGTTTATGCACCCTGTGCCTGTCTTAATATAATTAAAAAAAGAAAAAACAAACATGAATTAATGTTTTTCAATAAAGCATGGATAACAAAAGTTTTTTTTTACATTGAACACATTCCGTTAAACATTTTTAACATTTTTCTCAGCTTGGCGGCTTGTTAAAAAGGTTCGGAGTTTTTCGTAGCATCGGACATAATTCCTCTTCTTAACACCTTTTATTAAATTGTGTTTCTCAATTTTTCGTACGGGTTCTAAAAAGATAAATTTATCAATTTATTTATTTTATTTATATGTGAATGTGTATGTGTGTGCATGCGTTTTCGTCTGCGTTGAAATTACCTGTATCATTGTCCTTTTTTGTAAAAGCTTTGATAATTTTCTCCACAAACTGTAGTTTTGGTAAACTTTACAGGGTTAGTTAGTACGGAATCCTCGATGAGTGTGTCCGAGTCGCACTTGACCGTTTTTGTAAACTTATTATAATAAAACATTACTTTATAATAAAACAGAGAACAAAATCATGCCTACCCACGGGAAACGTAATTAGGTAAATAAAATAAATCAATCTATGATTAGATTTAATATTAAGCCCATCACTGTCCTCACAAACCCCGTGGATAATTTTTTTTCGGCACCTTTTTATTGGTTCTGACGCCATGTCGATGCGTGCGTTTCTCGCGAATGCAAGCCAACACTAGCCGCGCGAATCTAGCGTGGGGTGCGGTACCAGGTGCGCGGGGTACAAGGTGCTTCGACCTGGTTTCGCACTGTGATGAAATTTTGTTTCTTCCGTGCGGTCCCAGGTAGGTACACCATTGGATTCTATTTAACAATACATCTTAGATATATAATCATCTCTCTCCTACACAGAACCAAATTGAAGTTATGCCTTCCGCACGACAAGGAAGTCTATACTTTTCTTAGCCGCACTGTAAGCGAGGCGGTATACAAGATGTTTACACCTGGTATCGCACTCAACGTGTTAATGGGCCATCTTTATATTTAAAAAACAATTTATAAATAATATTAATTTTTCGAAAAGTGTCCCTACTAATACTTTCTATTTATGCGAATATTTGACATCTAGGTATATATATATATATATATATATATGGGCGACCGAGCTTCGCTCGGAGTTTTTGGCCAAAAAAACATTTTAAAAAAAACAAAGAATTACAAAAAACAAAATTAAAAACTTTGTGTCCTATCGGGATTCGAACCCAGACACCTGTGGTTGTCAAACTTGCGCATTGGCCGCTTAACCATGGTGCTTATATCTGAGCATGCGAAATTATCGAACATAATATTTTGCGTGGAATTATTAATTATTAATTTATTGAAATAATGCAAAAGAAATTATAATAATAATAAAGTTTTATTTATTCTATAAATGATTACTTATAATTTTAAATTATAATTACTCTTACTTAATAAACAATTTTTAAAATTGTATTTTAACAGGTCATATCTATAACTTACTTGATTATATTTTATTTAACTTCAATTTTTGGTTGGTGACTATTTATTAACTTATAATTTTTTAACTAATAATTTTGTAATCCGGAATTAAATTATTTTAGAAATCTTTAATATTATTTGAAATGATATTGTATGTTGTGAGCAATTACTTAATTGATTAATATATATAAATTATCATTAACAAATAAATAAGCAATCACAATAAATTAAATAATTCAAATGAGTTACGGAACCCTAATCCCACGAATATGCTGACATATCAAATACATGTACGTTTCCCAGGTGACCACCGCTGAGTTCCCCGAATTAGTTTTGTAATGCCGCATTGTTTTAATTTAGTAATTTTATTAATTGTAATACTTTTCCAATCACTCTTTATTCATACTTCGAGTAAAGACGTCGTTAGTTTTAAGATATATAATTATTGTATTAATGTAAAATTAATAAATAATTATTAATTATTCGGTTTTTTTCGACCTCCTGACTGCTGCAAACGTAATTGGCGCAGTCGGTAGGATTTTCGCGGGCCGGTTCGCGATCGGTCTAAATTAATTACTCGATAATTATCACGTCGCGTGCCGCCCGGGTGACTACCAAGCACCGTTCGAGAATCCAGAATCTACGGACCTGTGGCAGCCGGGAGTGGAATCCAACAATCGATTGATCTGAAAAGAGACCAGATAATGCAGTTTATGTGAGTACATAAGAATTGTTCTCGTGTTGCTCCTTTCTAGACCTAAGCCTATCCATAAGCTACCAAAATTTTCCATCCTAAAGCATCTAGGATCCGAGAGCCTCAATCTAGGCAGGCCCGTCGGTTAGGTATAGAT